TAATGGTACCAGTAGTACTAGTATAATAATCAGACCCCAAGGCATCACTCCCAATATCCTTCAACACCAGCAACAACAACAAGAACAGCAACAACAAAACTAAAACAGCAACTGAGGGCTACTTTGAGGGATACTTTGAGGGATTCTTTGAGGGCTACTTTGAGGGATACTTTGAGGGCTATTTTGAGGGATACTTTGAGGGATACTTTGCTATTGTCAGCCAAGTCACTGCCTGGGAGTTGTTGAAAAACAACCCCCGCATAACCAGCGGGGGGTATGCCTCCTTTGTATCAACACCGAACTTCTTCTCGAAGACCCGCTTCGCTTCCGTAAACAGCGGGGGGTTGTCGATCAGGCTGTAGCGACCGCTTTTGCACCTTTTGAAGAGAGAGTTGATTATGGTTGTTCTGAACGACCTGGGGCTCTCCTTCTTCTCGGCCTCCTTTTCGTAGAGGTCGAGCACGTAGGGCGGCAGGGACCCGGCGAGTTTCATCGCCTTGAACTTCTCGGCCTTGCCCTTGTCCCGCTTGGCCTCCTTGTTGCGGGCACCATCCTCCTGGCCGGAGGCCGCATCTTCCTCGAAGATATTTTCAGTCTCCATTGAGCCCTTCTTCACAGTGTTCACGGATTCCTGCAACGAGGCGGCAGCCGGCCTCTTCTTGGCAGCCTTTCCGGAGGCTCCCTTGCCCTTGCTAAGCTGTGTCTTCTTCTTCCCGACGATCATGTTCTTGACATTCTTGACCTTGGTCACGGCCACTTCGGCACCATTCGGCTTGCTGCTGCTGGAGCGAGCCGCGGGCTTCCTCAAAACGGCCATGATTCTTCTTCTCGAAGAATGTCACTGTAGGACCGGACACGGAAGGAAGGCAGGTGCAGCCTGTCGGTGCAAAGCAAAAGCTATATGCAGGCACGAAATGTATTCGTCAATTGGGGCCAGCAACCTACAAAGTGATGTCCATGGTTCTTTGGAACTCGGGTTTCTGAATCCGAATAGTTCAACAAACTTAGCACAAACTGTCGATACACGAGCACGAAATCTATAAGTACAAACCAGAACTTTACTCGAAACTTCCTCGAAACTTCGACCTAGCAACTCGAACTTTACTCGAAGTTTCCTCGAAACTTCGAGTTAGCAACTCGAAGTTTAACTCGAAGTTTGAAAGGGGCTAACTCGAAGTTTCTATATGTACATGTTACAAAACCCAGGTAAATGACACATCGCAACTCGAAGTTTCGAGTTAGGCCTCTTAAACTTCGACCAAACTTCGACCAAACTTCGAACAACCTAACTCGAAGTTTCGAGGAAACTTCGAGTAAACTTCGAGTTAGCAACTCGAAGTTTCGAGGAAACTTCGAGTAAAGTTCGGGTTGGTTCTTCGAAGTTTCGATGGAATTTCGGGTAGGTTTCTGTCTTGGTACCTCTAGTCTTTTGTGAATTTAAGTATTAAGCCATTGAGCGAATCGTAGGTGTCGTTCGACGAAACAACTCGGAATGTGCATGCCCGGACACCGAACTAGTGCTGCAAAACTCTCAAGTAAACTCTCAGAAGCACAAGAAGTCATGGTATTATGTGCATGCCCGGACACCGAAACATGTCTCATCTGACTGCTCTCTCAGCAACAAAAAACCCTCAGAAGCACAGGCATCCATCTCAACTTTTTTCCTCGTCGTGGCTCGCCACCACGGATCACAGATGTGATCTGCTAAGGTCTTTGCACTGCAGGAACCACGTCGTTCATACATAATCATAGCAGACCCATCAAATAAATAACCAATGATGATACCACAGCCCTCGGCAACCGGCGATCCTCACCTCCTTGGGTTTTCTGCATCGAAAGCCTGTCCGGCCTTCTTGTGTGCGGCCTTGGCCTCGGCTCGGGCAGCAGCGATCATCTCAGCATTCTCCTTGTCCTCGCCTCGGGGACGGTTCGCTTCCTATGCTTTGTGATAAGCTTTGCTGACCACTTTGTGTCGCCACTGTGATCGTGTGAGCTCCGGCTCGACCTCCATGTCATTCTCCCACGGCTCCTCCTCTTCGCCGCCGCCGCCCTCTTGGTCACCTTCTCCCCACCACCAGGACTCGGAAGCATGAACATCCACTGGTTCGGCCGTAACCTGCCACAACAGCTCAGAATTCTTGGTTTTAGGTTCATCATAAGGGGTTATTATTGTGATTGGGTTTAGGGGTGTAGGTTTCGGGGTTGAGGGTTTAGGCATTCTAGGCTGTTGTCGAGTTGTTTAAGGAGAGCTCAGAAGGATAATGATAGTTGTTATGTTTGGGAAATAAAAATTCGGCGCTTTTCACTCAAAAAGTTGGCAACCCCAGCAACATAAACAAACCAAGCCTAGCAACTTGCTGACTGTCAGCCCCCTCGTCGCCGCCCCAGTGCTGCTGGGACTTCTTCGCCTTCTTGTTCCTGATCTCCCCGGTCGCTGCCCCACGAGAGCCATCACCATCAGCACCATGACCCGCCGAAGCCGTGTTGCCCTTCTTCTTCTTCTCCTTCAAAATCGAAGCTGGCATCGCTGGCTCTTCCGGCTTCTTCTTGTCGTCTGTCTTCTTCTTGAGCTTCTTCTCGTCCTTCTTCCCCGGCACCGACGATGATGAGGGAGTCTCGCCCGGATTCTTTTGGGTCTTCTTCTTCAGCTTCTTCTCCTCCGTGTTCTCCGGAGCCTTCTTCTTCTGCTTCTGATTGGCAGCTGGCTTCTTAGCCGGCTTCTTGTTCACCTTGGGGCTGCTCGCATTGTAGATCTTCCGCAACGTCTTCTTCTCGTCCTGGTTCACAGGTTTCGCCTTCGAGCGAAGTCCTGCCAGCAATCCCTTCTCCGAATCGTCCAAAAGGTCCGTAGTCTCCATGGCAGCACCAGCTGCTCGCTTTTTCTCGCTGGATGATGCCTTCTTGTCCCAGAATTGAATACTATTATCAAACAAACAACAGCACCACAATGCAAAGTAGGTTCATGCCCGCAGTCTCTGTAGTCTACACTCGAGGCAGTGGACACCACTCACAGGCTCAGAATCCCTCACAGTTCGGTGAGCAACAAGTTTTATGCAGCAGAGCTCAAAATACTACAAGAACTTATCGCTCGCAGCACGAAAGGAGAACTCAGAATACTACACGAACCTATCGCTCGCAGCACGAAAGGAGAGCTCAAAATACTACAAGAACTTATCCCTCGCAGCACGAAAGGAGAGCTCAAAATACTACACGAACCTATCGCTCGCAGCACGAAAGGAGAGCTCAAAATACTACAGGAACTTATCGCTCGCAGCACGAAAGGAGAGCTCAAAATACTACACGAACCTATCGCTCGCAGCACGAAAGGATAGCTCAAAATGCTACAGGAACCGATTATCGCTCGCAGCACGAAAGCAGAGCTCTCAAGATACTACTACAACAACCTGTCGCTTCTCACGGGATAACGAACATATTATTGTAAAGATGATGCCAAGACATCATTGTTGAAGCAAGTAAGCCCACTAAAAAATGCAAACAACACAACATCAGCATGGATAGACACCGACACGGCCAGCCTTCGGCTTCTTCTTCTTCTTCTGCTTTCCGGCGGTGGCGCCAGCAGTAGACGGCTCCGATGGTGAAGCTGGCAGGTCCTCGTCGAGCTCCTCGATGAGCGGCCCTGTTTTTGCATCACCACCCGCAGTGGCTGCACTGCTTGTTGCCCCCAAGGACAACTCCTTCTTCAGGCTTTTTCCCTTCTTTCTCCCAGGAACCAGTAGCTTCAACCCTGGCACAGCAAAGCCGCCTTCCTCGCTGATCTCCTCGCCAGAGGAGCCGATGTCCTTCTTCTCGTCCTCGGAGCTCTCGTGCTGCAACACGTTTCGAAAAACAGCCATCGGATCAGTGTTACCCAAACCAGCATCATCAGCAGCATCGTCAGCCTGCTCGGCCCGGCCCTCGCCCGTAGTAGCAACAACAGCACCGCCCTCACCACCACTGCTGCCGCCGCCGCTCAGAGCACTGCCGAAGGAGTTCTGGTGCTCCAAGGACAACGAGGCATTTCCACGTCTCAAAGGAGGAGCGGCGGCCGGAGCATCTTCCTCGATCTGGATCTTGGTCAAGATGCGGTAGATGACCCTCATCTCGTTTTGGCTGGCCTTTCGGCTTGCCCGCTCCAGCACCGCTTTGTCGGTCTTCAAAGTCCGGAGGTGAGCAAGCCCCATCCTGATGTGGTCGCTGACCTGGTCCATGAAGCTGGCATCTTCGAGCTTGGTCTCATTGATATTGCCACGGGAGTGGGCAATTTCCAGGGCTCGCTTCAGCTTCTTGTCGGTGACGACTGCATTCCGTGCCTTCTCGAGAAAAGGCCCGTAAAGCCTTTCCAGCCGGACCAACCAGGTCACAGGAACGGCGCTTTTCCACCCTACCGTCGCCGGCGGGGCGATGAGCTTATGCAAATTTCGGGAGCACATCTCTTTCATATATTGCTCCAAAGGCTCTGCCAGGTCTTCGGCAGACACGGTCGGATCAGCTCTTGTTCGCCGACCCACAGAAGCAGCTGCCTCGGCAGCCATTGTCGCCACAGCGACGAAGAAAAGCACTACTCTACTATTGTTGCTAGCATACACAATAACTCCAGGACGACTCGGTTCTGAGCTGATGCTAGAAGCAGTGTTACTAGAGCTCCTATCACACCTGCTGCTAACACTCCAGGCAACTACCTGTTCCTTCGTTCGACTAGGCGAGCGACGGCCGACTCATGTTTGGAAACACAAATACCGCTAGTAGAGGCTATATATCTGCCCACATATAAGATAATATCATAATTAATATATCTGTCCACATGTCATGGTATCATTATTGTCCAAAAAAGTAGTGATATCTTCTATCGTCTGGTTATCTCTCTTTCTATTCTTTTCTATGTGTCTCTGAGCAAGAGGCAGCATAATCTTTATGACACTCATCTTTCTTACCCTTCTTCTTATTCTTCTTCAAAAACAGCTGCAATCGCTCCCTTCGTTTTCTGCTCGTGCGATCACACGGTCGAGCTCCGACAAATCCTCGTCTTCGCCGAAGATTGTCTTGTTGTCATCGTCTTCGGCCGGTGCACTATCCTCATTGCACACCGTCCTATCGTCCTCCTCGTCTGTCTCCGGCTCCGTCTGGGAAGAAGCATCATCGGCAGCTTTCTTCGCCGCCCCAGCTGGTGGTGTAGTAGTAGCCTCCTCGGCAGCTTTCTTCGCCGCCCCAGCAGCTGTAGTAGTAGCCTCCTCGGCGGCCTTCCGCCTTTTCGCAGCAGCTTCTGCATCCTCCGTCCCAGGCAGTCGTTTTTTCGCACCACCATCACCACTGCAAAAGGTGCCAGTCGCAGGAGCTGGCACTGGCGGCATCATTGATGCTGGCGGCGGATAAGGAGGCGGCTGTGGCCCCTTCTTGGGTATCACCCGCCACCTTGGCTGCAGGAGAATGACCACACAATCGCTCTCCAAGTACCCCTCAGGAGTGTCTCCAGCTCATCTCTCAGGCATCCCTCGAGCAGGGCTCAGAAGATCTCTCCACGTATCCCTCCGAGTATCGCTCTCAAAATCCCTTTCATGAGTAGGTCATCTCTCCAGACATCCCTCCCAAAAGTTTCAGAATATACATATATATATATATATATAGCCCTCAAAGTATCGCTCTCAAAATCCCCCGTCATGAGTATCACCACCTATACTTTACTACATGTCATCTCTCAAGACATCCCTCAGTCATGCTGAGAATATCTCGCTGCTCAGTATTATCCCGCAAAGTATCCCTCTCAAAGTCTCTCTTATTATTATGATTAGTACTAGTAACTAGTATCACGATGTTGTACATGCCATCCCTCAAGGCATCCCTCCGTCATGCTCAGAATCTCGCTCCCAGTATCCCTCACAGTATCGCTCTCCAAGTACTACCCCTAAGAATGCAAAACAAAGACAAATACTGCTGCTGTTGTTCACAATCGCCGCACATATACGAGTAGTCCATGAGGTGTTCCCCTAGAGGGTTGTGCCCCCATGGAAAGCATTAATTACCAGGTTGCTTGCACCACTCACTGTGGTTTAGTCCTCGTCGTGATCAGGAGCCGTTCGCCACCATACCCAATACTAGATCCTTGCTTGTTGTGGTTTGTTGTGCAATAGGAAAAGCAGCAATACACGGACTGGCTGGAAAAATGCTGAAACATTACACCAGGCACTGCTTCTTGGCAATCCAGACATATTTCCAACACCATTTCCATTCTGCCCTCCTCGGTGACCGTGACCTCTGTCGTCGTGAGCTTTCTTCCTCCTTCTGTGCCGAAAAAAAGAACAGCAACAAGCAGCAAAGACAAGTACTACTGCACAAGAATATTTCACATGTGCAACTCGTCTCCTCAGCAACTATTGTGGGCAAAAAAAGCGCTGACCTTTTCGTTGGCCTTCTGCTTGTGCCCCGACAAAAATGGCTGCAGCACAACAGCATCACGACGACTACAGAACAACATCAGAGCAGCTCTCCAAGTATCCCTCGTCGCAGTCCCCTTTAAAAGGTCTCTCAAAGTATCGTGCATTACCTCGCAAAGTTCTCTCAAGGTATCGTGCATTACCTCTCAAAGTAGCGATTATTTCTCTTGCTGAATATCACTTAAACTACAACATATCCAGAAAAAACAATCTTCAAGACTGGTGCAAAGCAGCTTTTTTAGTATCTCTCGAGGTATCCCTCACAGTATCCCTAGCCAGCTATGTGTGCACTTATTTGTTTAAGGCTCTCAAAGAATATCCCTCCAGGCAGCTTCAGGTATCTCTTGCAATATTTTCTATGCTGAATAGGATTGTCTCTCCAAGCATCCCTCACAGTATCCCTGGCAATCAAACTGGACATGTATCATGATCCTGTCGCCGGGTTGCGGTGGAGGAATAATAGACGGGGGTCGCATACTCGTCGGCGGCAGCGGCCTCTCTCCATTGGTGAGGGGGGGGGGTTGTTGGGAAGTGGTGGTGGTTTGATGCATTTCATGAAAACAAGAAGTATGCACAACTCCTTAGAATCCATCTCTAGCATTATAAGTTTTGTTGCGAAAAAAAAAGCCATACTTCTTACAGACGGGGTTCGGGAAAGGAGGCGGCGGAGGAGGCACAACAGAGCCAGTAGCAGCACCAGGTGTCGTCAGCTTTGGACCCGTCCTGGAAAAGAAGCCACCGCCACCAGTAGCATTGGTAGTGCCAGCAGACGTCGTCAGCTTTGGACTCGTCGGCACGGTCGTCCTCGTCGGCCTGGGGTAGTAGTAGTAGTAGTAGTAGTAGTAGTAGTAGTAGTAGTAGTAGTAGTAGTAAGTAGAAGTCCTATTATTATTATGGCCCACACAGATGATTTGTTTTCCGACAAAGCTCCTCTTCGGTGGTGGCGCCACCACTTTGGCTTTCGGTTGCAACACTTCAGCAGCGGCATCCGGGTGCATTGCCCTGGCATTGGCTCGCGAAGCCTGTCAGGGATAAAAAAAAAACTTCCTTTGTGCAGAAATCAGCCGCCAAACTCCACAATAATGTGCTGCCTGCAAGGGGTGGTCGGAGCACAGGTGTTGTCCTTCCAAAAGAGCGACCGCGAAGTCCGCCTGGTGGTCGGTTTCATAGCTGAGGAAGCCACTGCACATCTTTCCAGGATGGAACTGGCCCCTCCTCACCATTTGTATCCTTATAAGCCCACCAGCTGCACCATTTCTTCTGATCTCCTCCCTCAGCTCCGCAGCGGTGGTAAGGTGGAGGTCCATGATGGCAAAGAGGAGGTGGTGTCTTAATAATTAGAGTAGGGTTTTGGGGCTCCTTCTACTATAATTATAATCAGGAACCCTAACCATAATGTTGGTAGTTATTTAGGCTTCTACATTACATGTGTGTTGTTGTGTCTGGTCTGTGAGCTGCTGCTGCTGCTGCTGCTGCTGCTGCTGCTGGACGACATGATGTTTGGTGTGTGAGCTGCTGTTGCTGCTAGACTGCTAGACAACATGGGTAGGCTCTGCTGCTGTTGCAAACGACATGAGGTTCTGCTGCTGCTGCTGCTGCCGCTGCTGTTCCTGCTATGCTGCTACCGCCCTTCGAGTCGGCACCGGCTGCAGCGGCAGCGACCAATTCACAATCTCTTCAAGCAGACTCTGTGTGCTTGCAAGAAGCTACAAAACAACTCCCAGAACAACAACGACGACGACAACACAATTAAAACAACAACTGAGGGCTACTTTGAGGGATACTTTGCGGGCTACTTTGTTATCATCTCTCAAAGCATCCCTCGGAGTATCAGTGTGAGTGTTCTCATCTTCCCAAGCATGTTTCGGAGTATTGTTGTTATCATCTCTCAAAGCATCCCTCGGAGTATTGTTGTTATCATCTCTCAAAGCATCCCTCGGAGTAGTGTTGTTATCATCTCAAAGCATCCCTGGGAGTATTGTTGTTATCATCTCTCAAAGCATCCCTCGGAGTATTGTTGTTATCATCTCTCAAAGCATCCCTCGGAGTATTGTTGTTATCGTCTCTCAGAGCATCCCTCGGAGTATTGTGAGCAAAGAACACAACAACGAGCTGGCTTCGGTTGGTGCTTTCAGGGTTGAGGCTTCTTACCAAACATCCCTCAGTTTTTGTTTCTGTGTTTTGGGTTCTGAAGACAGGTTTAATAAAGATCCTTCGTGTTCACATACTACTACTAACAGAAATGGCATCCCCCACGTGAGTGTTCTTATAACATACAATAGCATCGCTGAAGAATTTATCCCACGACTTCTGCTTGTTTGATTTCTCCGGAATATCCTATGTCGCTTCGTCTATAGAAAAAAGATATGCATATGATATATATATATATATATACCTGTCTAAGATATAACAGGTAAAGACTCAAAACCCTGTGGCTTCATTTTTCTTTCCAACCAGCTGTGTCACGGTCTTCAGTCGGACTTCTTGGTCTTCTTCACGGCCTTCATCACTTTCATCGTCTTCTTAACGGCCTTCATCGCTTTCATCGTCTTCTGCTTCATCGCCTTCATCGTCTTCATCGGCCTCGTCTTCTTTGGTACGAGGTGCTTTTTGAGCACCCATACTTCTGTCACTTCATGTCGCCCTTGAACCAAGGACTTTAGCATATAGTCGCCCCACTCGGTCCACCACTTTTTCTTGAAAGTCTCCTCCGCGGTGTTGCTGCGACGGCCGCCCATGGTTGTTGCCGAATAAAAGGATGCTGGCACTGGGTTGTTCGAGCACAACAACAAGCAAGCTGCACAACAACGAGCTCTTTTTCGGTTCGTGCTTTCAGGGTTGAGGCTTCTTGCGAGACGGTTTTGTCGGTATATAGTTTCCGGCCTCGCTGATATCACTCAAAACATCCCTCAGCTTATCGCTGATATCACTCATTATATCCATCATCTTATCGCTGATATCATTCAAAACATCTCTCAGCTTTCGTTCTGTGTTTTCATGCACAAAATCGAGCCGCCAAACTTCGAGTAAACTTCGGGCTGCCGGACAAAATAGCCGACACAAACTTCGAGTAAACTTCGGGTTGGCAGCCACATCACAACCCGAACTTTCGAAGAAACTTCGGGTAAAGTTCGGGTTGCAGGGGCGGCGCAAAATAAGATATATATCTTATTTTGCGCTGTTTTGTAGGCAATTTTTTGCCTATATAGGCAATTATTTTGTCTACGGAATATCTTATTTTTTTCTGCCTATATCTTATTTTCGTAGGCAAAAAATAGCCGAAAAAAATAAGATATATATCTTATATACTATTTTCGTAGGCAAATCATTTTGCCTAGAAACAAAAAATAGTCTAAGATAGTGTTAGGGGTAAGGCTGAGAACGGACGGGCCTGGATCGGTCCCTGGTTCTCGCTAGAGGTGAAGAAGGAAAGGGCCCCTTGGGCCTTCGTTAAGGGTGACCCGAACAAGGTCATCGCAGCGCTATAGCTACTTGCCACGCTGGTGGGAGTGAAGCTCTGGGTCCCGGAAGGGAACGCTAAGAAGACTTCAAGGGTCGCTATCTGGATACACGGACAACTATAGTCCAACGAGGCGCTACTGAAGAAGGCTATACCGACGAAGTTCCCCTCGACCTTGGTGCTGATGGAGCTAGCGGAGGAACTCTCCGCTAAGAACTGTGAGCTTCAGCTACAGTGGATCCGCCGTGATCTGAACCAGCTAGCGGACGACCTCACGAACGAGAACTTCGCTAGTTTCTCCCCGACTTCAGGTTAGACCTGGAGGGGGAAAAGCTAGAGTGGCGTGTGCTGGGCCGTCTCCTCGAACACTCGGCTCGCTACTTTCAAGAGCTAGGAGTGAGGAAGAGAACTGGCGAGCCTAAGGCTCCGAGGTTCGCTAAGAAGGCCCGTAAGCTAGGTCCCTGGTAGCCCTACGGCCCTACGGCTGCGCGAGGAGATTAGCTAGCCGAAGGCTAGAGTTCTTCTCCGGGCTAACGCGGGACTTCGCCACAACGCTAAAAAGAGAGAAATTCGTGTTGTCCGTGCTACTGTGAAGCCGGTTAGCTAAAGCTAGGCTTGCTACGTACTCCCCGGAGGTGTTGAGGGAGGTGGCGGGAGGATACGCTAGCTAGTGTACGCACTCGTGCCGAGGGACGAGGTACGACCGTGTATGCTAGCGCTAGTATCCTTGTGTGAAACATCGAAGGTGTTTCGCTAGAAAACGTCGAAGAGGTTTTCCTCTGAAGCTAAACAGAACGAAGCCAGTCTGTTTGCTAGAGTGTCTGCACATGGCCGGTGGAACGTGAGCTATTCCGTGGCCATTGTGCTGAAAGGCCCCCTGCTATTGGGGGGCAAATTTCGAGTGCCCACCCAACCCACCCTGGAGATTAGCTAGCCGAAGGCTAGAGTTCTTCTCCGGGCGAACGCGGGACTTCGCCACAACACTAAAAAGAGAGAAGTTCGTATTGTCCGTGCTACTGTGTGAAGCCGGTTAGCTAAAGCTAGGCTTGCTACGTACTCCCCGGAGCTGTTGAGGGAGGTGGCGGGAGGATACGCTAGCTAGTATATGGAGAGAGCTTACTTCGAGGACCCCAGCTGGCTATCCGTGGGCTTCAACCTGCTGAAGAACCACGCGGGCTACCAGCGGGACTACATGATGCCGAGGCTCAAGGAGAACGGTGCACTGGAGAAGAAGATGGCTACCTATGCCGACGCTATGGTGGCGACCGCGGACCTTTTGGCGATGGTCGGGATACCGGTGGTGGCTAGGGGCTACTGGTCGGAGCACAGTGCAAGCAGTGCTCCCTACAGGCCTGAGCCTGAAGCCGATACCCCCAACAAATAGAGATATGCTGGGGAGATGGAAACCAGAGGGATCGGATACCTACATCCGTTCCTATGGTGGCCGGGTGGCTGGACTCCAGGCCATCTACGCGGAGGCGGCTAGAGCGCCAGACCGCGAAGAGCAGCTGGACGAGCGGGAGATTGCGGGCGACCTCGGTGGCTGGCTATTTAGGACTGGCAAGGCTACGGAGCATGATGCTGACAAGCTAGCGGGAGAACTCCGACGCGAATGTGCGAACGAGAGGATCGTGGAGCTAGTGGCTGGTCCTGGGCTACCTGAAGAAGTTGCGGTGAGCGAGGCACCCGAAGGCGATCCCGAAGATTCGGCTAGTGAGCCGGAGTTGGTGCCGGAGCTGCACCGGCACCGACCGAGGCAGCTACTTAAGAAGGCTAGGTGCTCTAGCTACATCATAGTAGAGGTTGCACATGTCCTTGTGCTGGGCGAGCGTGACATGTCAGCAGGCTAGGGCAGTGCAGAGAAGAATCCGCCGTGGTTACTGCTGGCTAGAAGAGTGGGGGTAGCGGCCCACTACGATCTGGGAGAGCCCACGATAGGTGGGCGAGTGCGGGCCGCTTGCGGCAGGCTAGCGACGCCATGGATAGGGCAGCCAACTGGGCTGACTAAACGGAGCAGGCTAGCGCGCTAGCCCAACGGATAGAAGTCCTCAGGTCGCTGGAGGAGTGGCTAGAGGTGGACCCGGCGAGCCTTGCGGAGCAGCTATACGAGAGGCTAAGTATCAACAAGCTGCACGAGTTGTTGCAACTGGCTAGAAAAACACGGGGCATGAGGCTACAAGAGTACCAAGAAGGGGCTAGTGTGCAGCCCAGTGGCCAACTCTCGGCCCGGATAGTCCGCTCCTCGACGGCTAAAGACTGGAGCTAGAGGTGTCACTGTTTATGCTAGAGGCTCAGTACCTGGAGCAGAGGATAGCTAAGAACCGCGAGCTTGCAGGGCTGAGGCCCCATCGGCCTGGCGAGACGTTAGAGGAGGAGTCCTCCCAGAGCGAGGAACTTGAGGATACACCCTGGCAGGGCGAGGGCACTGCAGCCAGCCAGCCCGCGCCGGGGCCTGCAGCAGCGGCTAGCCAGGGATAGGCTCACTATGCTAGAGGAGATGATGCTGCAAATGCAGCAGTAGCAGGCTAAGATGCTGGAGCTAGAGAGGGAGTTTAAGGCTACCACCGCAAGAGGAGATGAGGGGAAAGGCGGTCGGCTAGAGACCCCACGCCGGGAGAAGCTTTGGGCAAATCAGCCAAACCGGAGAGGCAGCCTCCCAGAGTGGAGGAGTCCAAGGCTAGGAACAAGAAACGGGATAGCAAACCTGCTGCGACCCAGGAGGCGGCTACTATGCTGCCGTTTTCTGCCGGGATAGATCCAGGCCAGGCCTCGGGCTCTGGCAGACCGCAGCAGCGGCGGCTAGCACGGAGAGGCCCAGGTCTAGCGCGGAATATTCGCGCCCCGGCG